TATGGAAGGTTGGCACTTTGAAGGTCTAAGAATTTCTTAAGTTCGGTTTGAGGTGGACATTGGTGTTATCGATGTCCGTTTGAGATTCCGAGCCTTGGAATAGGTTTATATTGTGCTTTTATGACTTGTGCGCAAAGTTTGGCATCATTTTGGAATATTTTGGTATAGGTCGGATGCGTTCGTCGAAGTTTGAAAGTTTGAAAGTTAAAGAAGGATTTCGATCGTCGATTCGTAGTTCCGATGTTGTGTGATGTAATTTGAAGGCTTGACTAAATTCGTATGGTGTTTTAGGACTTGTTAGTAGGTTTGATTGAGGTCCCAGGGGCCTCGGGTGGATTCTGGATGATTAACGGATCGATTTTTGGACTTAAGGAGAAGGTGGAAAATATGGTTGCCGGTGTAACCGCTTCTGCAGAAGATTCATCGCAGAAGCGAGGGAGTGGACCATAGAAGCGGCTGAGAGTGAGCTGGGCAGAGGTCTGCTCAGAGATTTCATATCTCTCCCACGTGTGATTCATCCTAACAACTATCGAATAGGTTGAAAAAGTGCCCCTACACATGCAAAAAACTAATTAAAAGGGCAAAAGAGACGAAGGCCAAAGCATTGACTGAAGAGGGGAGCAAGGACCATCCCGACCGAGGGCTAATCATAGATCTACTATGGTCTTTTTTTTTTTTTCTTTTATCTTATTTCCGGTTAAAAGCCTTTTCTGGAAGCATTATGTTGAGTCACTCCAAGAGTAGAATCAGCAGCTCACCTCACGTTTTAGGAACCAAATGAGGAATCACACGTAGACGGACCTGAGCATTCTCCTGCTCTACGGAGCCCTCTGGAGCTAGAGTTGGGGCTGCTTGACGCTCTTCTCCTTTCGAGTGAATTGAATTACTTCGTCTCGGCGACGGTGATCGCCTACGAGAAGGTGACGGCCACTTAGCATAATATATAGTTTCAGTGTACTATAACTATATCTAAAGAAAAGTCTCCCATTTGAAAGATTATTTGTTATAAGTCATGTTTTGGAGTTTGCCAAATCATGTGCGAAGGATTTTCCGCATCTGCGAGATCGCAGATGCGGCCGTTGGAGCGCAGAAGCAGAGGTCGGCCAAGAAAGCATGGGCCGCATAAGCGGAAAATGAGGCGCAGGTGCGCGAGCGCAGAAGTGACTGTAGCCCGCAGAAGCGGAAGCGCAGGTACGCTACTTGGGGCGCAGAAGCGAAGGTTGTTGGGTTGTGCTGAAGCCACACCTTCGATGGATTATCCGCAGTGCAGAGCCGTATAAGCGGCTACTGCTTCGCAGGTACGAAGGTCGGGTTGGGGAGTGTGTTCTTTTAAAACGGGGGTTTGGCCTATTTTCATCATATTTCGTCCATGGAAACTGATTTTGGAATACTTTTGGAGTGCCATCTTCATCAACTATAATGGGGTAAGTGATTTCTTCCCATTTGTGAGTTAAATATATGATTTATATGATTCAAGCATGAAAATTGGTAGAAAATGTGAGATTTTGAAAGAAACCTATAAATTGATATTTTGGATTTTTACCACTAAATTGGGCATGGAATTTGGAATAAATTATATATTTGAGTTCGTGGTGTTATGGGTAATGACTATCTTTGAAAATTTTTGGAACACGTGTGCTCGAGGGGTAACTTTATCGACTTTTTGAGCAGAGTTGGGAACTTATTTAAAATGGTTTATTACGAGTATTGGAGTATATTTTTATTGGTTTGCACAATTGTTTGACTAGTTTTGGAACGACGAACATCGGTTTGAGGTGTTAGAGAGGTTTTGGAGCCGGTTATGAAACTTCGAAGCGAGGTAAGTCTCCTGTCTAACACTGTGAGGGGGAAACTACCCCTAGGTGATGTAGATATGTGTTACTTGATGCGGGGTTACGTATGCGCGAGGTGACGAGAGTCTGTGCGTAGCTAGATTCATGTTATTGTCCGGATAGACTTAGGTTCAGAGCATACTATACTTGTACTATAGGGGTTATCTTTGCTCGTTTAATTCCTTTATTTCGCATTACGACTTGAGACTAGACTTGCGTATAGTGATAGACTTGCCATTGTAGAGATTTAACGGGCTTCATGATTAGCCGTGGAATAATTATACTCTCCTTAAGAATTTCTCTCGCGTTGTGCGTCTTCATCGAAAAGCTTCCTTAAAGTTCATAACTCACGCACTTATTCGTGAGTGGGGTCAAGGACCCGTCAAAGCTTCTTATTCTAATGGGATCGAGTCGTTCACCTCGGTAGTGTAATAGATACATCTATGGTTCGTGTCATTCGACCCTCGGCAGTGCACACACTTTCATGGGATCGGGTCATTCGCCACGGCAGGATTTTGTACCACACTCTCATGGGAGCGGGCCGTTCGCCTCGACAATATAATTGATATATCTATGGTTATGTACGAGATGATGATGGGATCGAGCCGTATGCCTCGACATTTCTATAAAATACCCCTATGGAATCGTGCGTAATATTTGTCAAGAGGTTAGTGCACCTGAGAATTTTCGTGATTTTAATTATGGCAATCTATCCGGTGAGGTCCATTATATATATATATATATATATATATATATTCTCCGATCCGGGAGGTAACAGTTAATCGAGAGTTTGAGTTGCGGTTGAGAGGAGGATTGTACTACGTATTTACACTTGTTTATTTCGTTTGTTTACTCCGCCCCATATCTGTTTACTTCTTATTGTAACTACTAGTAAGTGTCGATGTCGACCCCCCGTCACTTCTTCACTGGGGTTAGGCTAGATACTTACTAGGTACGCGTTGATTTATGTACTCATGCTACACTTGTTGCACATTTTGTGCAGGTACATATATGTTTGGTGGCCTTTTGGGCTCAGAGGCGCGGCGATTGCGGGGACTTACGCTGAGCTGCATTCCATGTTACGATCCGCAGCATACAGAGTCTCCATCAGAGTTATTTACCTTCTCCTGTCTAATTTGTATTCCAGACAGATGTTGTATTTCATCATATTCCTAGTTGATGCTCATGCACTCGTGACATCGGATTTTGGGGGTTCCTACTGGATGTTTAGTATGGTAGTTCACGTAATTATTATTATTTCACCCTGTAAATTCTATTTCATACTATTTAATTAATGGAAATTATGATTTCAAAAGTAATAAAATGAGTAATTAAGTGGATCAATCACCGTTGGCTTGCCTGACGGCGGTGGTAGGCACCATCACGATCTATAGTGAATTTTGGATCGTGCCAGACCGAGTCGGAGTTATTATTTTGGAAAGGGAACATTCTTTTTAGTATGAACTAATAAATTGAGACGGAGGGAATAAGTTTTTATGTTTCTGTGGCAAAGTTTTCCAAAACACTTCTCTAAATTTTTTCCGACAAAAGATTATCTATATTGGATTATGAGAGCCTTTGTCTTGTGTGCTTCAACTTGTGGCGCATCGTATATTATGTCATTCGTTCTGCCAAAGACGTGTTTTTTTGTTTGTTAAGAGCCTGTTTGGAAAGTCATCTTAGAATTGGATTTGGGTGTAATTACACGGTTTGGCATGTTTGTTTGGCCAAGTAATTACTTGGTCAGCATGGAATTGGAGGAGTGTAATTACACTCTCCAATTCTCAAGGGGAGGTGAGAATTGGTAGTAATTACACTATGTAATTACAAGATTGCCTTTTAGTTTCTTTCCTTTTTGTTTTATTTTAATTTATTTTCTTTATAACTTTTTGTTTTTATTATTTTATTTTATTTTTACTTTTTAATTTCTTTTTAAATTTTAAAATATATTTTCTTTGTACATTATTTATCTTTTATTTCTCTATCTTTACTTCTTGTGATTCCATGTAATTGCTTATATTTTATTTTTTTTATTTATTTTATTATTCTATTTTTTGAAACTACACCTCCTAATATTATAAATAATGAGCCATTAATAAACTTGGCATATAATGAGTGATGCAATTAAAGTGAAACTTCGTTGTTAAATGTGGTTATAAACTTATCATGTTTCCTAACTTAAGTTGCAGTGAGTTAAACTATTTTATTTTTTTTGAATTTTTGAAATTGTGTTATATTCATGGTTCCAATTTACTTGTTTTGTAGTATTGACTCACATTGCATGTTGTTCATTTTTTAGTTAGAATTGGTAGATTAGTTTTGTCAAATATTTGAATAATGTTATGACACTATATTTATAAATATTAATTTATTTTATCAAACTTGAATTCCATGATGTTCTTACAAAACGTATATTTTTTTTAGTTTTTGTAAGTATCTAAACTAAATATTGTTAATTTAAAATATACATATAAATTATTTTAAAAATATTAGTTATAAATATATGATTATTAATTAATGTATATTCACGAAAAAATATACATCTTAAATACCAAATATATATCATTTATACTTATAAAATCTTATAGGCATATATTTATTATATTAATTTTTAGTTTTGATAATTATTTAATTTAAAATTTAGTCTAACTGTGTAATTACCCTTGTGCAACCAAACAGTAAACTTGTAATTACACTGTAATTACACTATGACAAACAAACAGGCTATCGTAATTACACAACTGTGTAATTACTAGGCTGTGTAATTACTACCCTAGTAATTACACCAATTTCAATTACAAGGTGACTTTCCAAACAGACTCTAAATATGTAATTAAGATCAGTGTGTTAGCCACCATCGACGCATATTAATTTTCTCTAGCGGGGACACAAATGATCAAAACTAAATGAAGGGTTAAACTACACGAAACCTTTCAGTTCCCCAATCTTATCTCCAGTATTTTGTTGTGGGAAAAGAAATTTAATTACTATACTTGTGCTGCTGGAAAAATGTAACTAACGACTCTACAAGATTGGTCAGATTTACCGGACATTCTTATTTACTTTTTTTCTTTTTTTGTTTAAAACCAACATGGTTAAGAGGCATGATTCATTTCGTGATTGCAAGAACATTGATAACTATTGAGGATTTATCACTCGGCTCAAGAATACTGGACAATGCAGATATAGAGAATTATTTTTCCAACAATGTGTTCTACAAGCAGACAGATATTAACATCTCTTTTACCTTACAAATATACACACTGCTCTTTATTGATTCTCAAACGAAAGAAATGGATGATGAAACAAATTGCCTATAATCGTGGAAAGTTTGTGAATGATCTTAAAAGTAGGTGTTCTCCAGGTGATGGCATAGTACAACTTCTGTTTTACAGATGGAAAGTTAGATGGGACCTCTGAACTTGCTCGCTCTCATTTTTGAGTAGATTACGAGACAGCACTGGTTTTCAATTTCGGTGTCTTATGCTTGACAAAGAAAGCCGAGAGCATACTCCTGCTGCGATTATGTGCACGGATAATGTCCCGTCTTGGATTATCAAATGATCTGTATGGTGTTAGAGGTTTGCTACCCTCCAGGGTGCCCTGCAAAAGCAAATTTTCGTTTTAGCTATTGCGATGAAAGGAAAACATTTTATTTTTTTTGATAAGTATGGAAAGCAATTCACAGAGAGAGAGAGAGGAGGGGAGGGGGGGGGGGGGGTAGGGGTGCTTGATCATTTAAGACTTGCACTCTCGGTCTGGTCCTATTAGATGCCCACAAGCAAAGTAGGTAACTTCAAACAGACTATAAGACTGAACAACGTTCAAGTCAAGACTAATGATGCAACATGAAGCAAAGTTTCTGAAGATACAAGAAATCCACATATTAAATTAGACTAAAAAAAGAAACGAGGCAAACCATATAAACATACATAGACAGATGATCACAAATGTTTTATATCTGAAGAGATGAGATGAAACTGCAGACAAACTGACTGCAATCCAAACATTATTGTTCCCACTTTTCTTACCCCAAAATATACCTCCCAAATACAGATCTCACCTCTCCAACAAAGGTGCATATTTACCCCCTTGGAATTAAAATTTTTTGCAGAGATGAAACTGTTAACTAATTGAGATATTAATTGCTAACTTGTCCTATTGATTAACAAGACAATGACAGATCACAAAATTTGGATTACTAAACCACATAGATGCTCATATTACAATAATGTTATGATCCTCAGATAGCATTGTTTAACAATGATACTCACGTCTGCATATTCACCAAAATGTTTTAATACACTTCCCTCTGAATTATATTTTCTATTCCGTAATTCCACAGCTATCACATTTATCAAGGTAGAGTTGAAATGTGGTTATTCAGTTATAAGTGAGGTTGGCTTTGGCTTACATAAAGCAAGAGCGCATACACCTACAAAATTGACAGCTCTATGAAGGCGTTCTATAGGCAGCTGGCATATAACAACACTATAGTGCAGTTTCAGGAAGGACATCATGTAATATAAGGAACAGATGGCATAATATATGGAACTGTTCTTTTCAATTTATTTCTTTTTTCACTTCCAATGCATTTGACATTACCTGCCGTGTGACACCCAATGTCTGCATTGCTAGACTTGATGCAGGACCAACGTTAGGTGACTGAGGACGAGCTGCATATGATTTTTTCCGTGTACTCTCTTCATCTACTCAATGAAAATTGACAGTGAGAAATCAAGAGTCAATTGCATCAAATATCTACACCACGGAAATCACAAGTGAACATAGAACCTTCACAACATACCTAATAAGTTGAATGCGGCAGATGCTTTTTTTTCAGAACCTTTTGCTTCCTCAGGACTGAAGGGTAAGGAAAGATCAGTTTTCTACAACCTCTAGAAATATTTGAGAATATTATCCAAAACAAAATGACAGTAATCTCCTCGAACCTTCAAGGTCAATACCAACACTAACCTCATAAAAGTACGTGAAGTCCCTTTCAATGTCGATTTAGTTTCTGTTGCCAGATGCCAAGAGAGAGTTTTTGCAGCAGGTGTACCTAATACAGAACATATGATAAGAACGACGAAATAGAATGCTGAAGAGATGACAGGACAGTATCATCAAGAAGTCAGCCACCTGAAGGATAAAGGCGGGGTCTTGCTTGTGAATGTTGCCTCGAATCCACCTTAACTTGAGGGCTGAAGTGCACCTTCTTGCCAGCGGAATCTAATTGTGTGCCAATCAGAAGAGAGAGAAGTGTGCAAGTCAGGCAAAAAGGTCCGAAAACAGCAAGAGCTTTAAAAGAAATGCAACAAGGACCAAAAAGTAGCCGTACTTGGCAAAATATAATGCTTGTGATGCCTTGGGATGATAGCTAATAGCTGTTGCTGCCTGAGGCCTTCTTTCTCGGTGTACGTTTTGCATGTGAGAAGTCGCTTAAATCAAAAGACTAAGTTCAGCTATATCTGTCTTCATTCTCAATCAGACAATTTTGATTAGGGAAAGTTCCACTAAGTTACCTGATCAAGACAAGTGACCTTTAGCTCCATGCTTGTGACATCCAGTGTTTGTTGCTCAACCAAGTCAGTTAATTTATAAGCAACAGTTCCTAGGTGGTCGACAGCATTGACAAGAGCTCTTACAGCATAGTCCTTCAGGTTATCAAGAACCCTGAAAAAATGTAGTATTAGAGTAAGAGCACAAAGGAGCAAAGGAGGAGTGTAGCATGACCAAGAATAAATGCACCAGCATTTTGGAGCTTGCCTAAACATAGTAAAGATTCTTGCTGAGAAAACTAAAAGAGCCCGTACAGCCAGAGATCAAAGAGCTTCTAACTTTTGATTAAAGTGCTGCAAACCTAGGAGAAACATGAGAGATTGAGTGGAAAATATTAAGCTAATGGGAATACTCTTACATTTGTTTCTGCTCGTTTTGAAGATAAGACTTTTCACAATATTCTGCAGCAGAATAGAGTTGCGGCCTCAAGTTCTTGAGTTCCTGAGACAGGCAACACACTAAATTAGACCACAGTTCTTGCAAAAGTTGACAAATGGTTAAGATGGAAACAAGTTGTAAGCAGATATGAAACATAACTTGGAAATTTTTAATAGAATCCAAGATATCTTTCCTGTCATCTTAACCAGATAAAAGTGCTTATAGTACATTTTACATATATATGTCAATATCAACCAATCGCTTATCAAAACAATATTAATATCAATCAACCAAACACTCCTCAATCCTATAAAGAAGGCTGGGTTTGGCCATATAATCTTCTGAAATCATTCTGCTCTACTCGGGCCCGAAACTACTACTTTTTATATGTTATATATTTGGAAAAAATGAAGCAGTGTTATTATACACAGTAATCACTAACTGCAGCTTTAAAGTGACAAACCATTTTGCATGTAGTATTCATAAGCTGGCATTAGAATGTTAACATAAGCAGCCACTCAGCAGCTCCAGCTTCAACCGTCCAACGGCCTACTTGATGCACACAATTGACCAACACATATAGACAAAATCTTATTTAAACATTTCCAATCTCTCTTAGCTCCCGAGCCTATTCTGATTCCTTCCCTTCTTTACTTCGAGGAGGTTATATAATAGTAACAAAGGAGACAGATTATAAACAAAATGATGCAATATGCGAACAACACTGCACCTCCACATATCAATCAACAATTACACCTCAATACCAAACTAGTTGAGTCGGTTATATGTTAGAAGTCCTACATCGGTTGTGCGGAAGATGATTGGTCTCCTTATGTGGTCTAGGCAATTCTCACCTCATGAGCTAACTTTTGTGATTAAGTTAGGCCCAATGTCCATTTCTTAACACGGTATCAGAGCCCAGTCTTTGTTTACCCATTTAGGGCTCCGATGTTCATGCTCCGAATGTCGAGTCCTGAGTCTTGGGCGTCCGGAGAGTGTTCGAAGTCCCACATCAGTTGTGGGATGGGCAATGTCTCCTTATATAGTCTTGAAAAATCTTCACCTCATGGACATTTCTTAACATTATATGAATCCGTTGTACCAATTCAACCATATCCAGACACATTTCATTGAACACGTTCCAACGAATTCAATAAATGACCATTGCTATATTGTATACTAGTTGTCCGCCTACCACAACCCTCATCTTTTTGCCCGACTTGGAAACTGGGTATGCTTCACGAAATGGTTGGAGTTAAAAGTCACTAAACAAGATACATAAAGGAGTTGCTAAACAGTCAAGCGAATCAGTCAGATTTAAAGTAATTTGAACTTGTAAAGAGTATCCTTCATTACCCAAGCTATCATCATAATAATTTGTTTTTTCATTTGAGCATCTCGCACAGCAGATGAAAATTTACATTGCAATGTCAACAGTCAACATTATTATTTAAATAGCTAGAATATTCCAAGTAAAACGAAGCTAATATTGTAGACATACATTGAACAAGAACCAGATCTGATCTCGAATTTGGCAAATGAGAAAGAAGTAGTGAAACCTGTAAGGCTTTAACGAAACTCTTGCTTCGCTCCATTGATACTTCATCAAACGTCATCGCCGGAGTATTTTCAAGCTTCAATTGTTCTACTTCCATAACTTTCCTATTTCAAAAACCGCACAAATTCTCCAAAAAAATTAACTTCCTTCTAGATCAATCGATCAACTAATCATAGCGATATGTATTTTATATTCAAAAAGTTCTAATTAGAAAATGGAGAAATGGTGCATAATTGTTTCGAGATGGATTAGGAGTTAAGGAAAGGGTTTCGGTAGGCCACCACGGCGGTGGAAGGTAGTGGAGGTGGTAGCGGTGGTGGTGGTAGGAGAATTTATGAGGAGTGTGTGTGAGTGAAGCAATCCCGGGAAGTGCGTCGTTGTTATTATAATTTTGGGAAACTGGAATATGATGGAGTTAATTGCAAGTGAAAATGACGTCGTATTTATTGCAGGCAGATAAAAGGTGGTTCAACTGCACTGTGCAGCTCCTCCCACCTTGACCCCTAGGCCCTTGGACCGATAAAGTGGACCCCAAACTCAAAATAATAAAAAATAAATCATCTACCTTCCATAATTACACCAAATCATAGCGATATACAAATTATATTCGGACAGAAGGATAGTATCCCGCTTTAATTATACTCCCTCTATCCCATTTTAAACGGCGCTTTAATTTTTTTCGTGCCTATTAATAAAAAATAAAATAGTACTCCCTCCGTTCACTTTTACTTGACAGGTATATTAAAAATAAATTTTTATAATTACTTATCGCTTTATGCATATCAAGAGAAGCTAATTTTTTTTTCTATTATACCCACAGTATTTATTACTCATTTTAAATTATTTTCTCAAATCCAATAAAATATGCATCAATTAATATGGTTATCATGGTAAATTATGCACTTCATTTATTATTTCTTAAGAGCCATGAAAAGTCAAAACGTGTCAAGTAAAAGTGAACGGAGGGATTACAAAACAAAACAACAACAACAACAACAACAACATACCCAGTAATCGTGGGGTCTGAGGAGGGTAGTGTGTACGCAGACCTTACCCCTACCTTGTGAGAATAGAGAGGTTGTTTCCAATAGACCCTCGGCTCAGGAAAGTATAAGCATCACATTAATGAAAATATAGACAAGAAGGGGCAGTACCAAAAAGCCATATAAAAGCAGAATAAAATAACAAGATAGTAAGGTGATCAACAATGAAAGAAAATAACGGTTAGTCATAAAAACCTACTACCAACAGAAAGCGAGATTGCGTGCCAATACTATTACTATAAACACCCTAGACTACCTACTCTACTACCCTAATCCTCGACCTTCATACCTTCCTATCAAGGGTCATGTCCTCAGTCAGCTGAAGTTACATCATGTCTTGCCTAATAACCTCTCCCCACCTCTTTTTTGGCCTACCTCTACCTCTCTGTAGGCCATCCAATGTCAACCTCTCATCTCACACTCCTCACTGGGGCGTCTGTTGTTACAACCCATATTCACATACGTTAGTTCATTCCATAAGGTCGTCGATGTAAATCCATGAAGAGATTATCTTTGAGATGATAAGAGATTAATCCTATTGGTCTTAAATGATACAAAGGTGTATAAGGGTGGTTAACAAGTATTAGAAGTTAAACGAATCAAGGATGTTGTCAGCCGTATTTTTGGGTGAACCTAGGGGTGCTTAATACTCTCAAGAGGTCGTATTTTAAGGTATATGAATCATAAAATATTCGTATCATAGTCTTGAAGTCAAACGAGTTATGAAACAAAAGTCGACAAGAGTTGTTGCAACTTAAGTTCATAGTTTTACTTAAACTTTAGGTCAAATGTTATTAAGCTTTTCTCCCAATATACTTGGAATTACGGGGTGATCTACCCACCAAATTGAAGATCTATGAGTCTAGTTTCCAACGCATTAAACCTTTTATCAATACGACATTGGAGTAGAGAGATATTTGCGTTTTCGCGAGACTGCGCCAAGCACCTCTCTATGGGACCCACTTAGGCGGTTTAAGACATTTGGATCTATATAGGAC